AGTAACATTAGTAATGAATAATCTAAAGGTCAGTTGAATTTCTCCCTGTCCTTTAGGGATATAAATACTGTTAACTCTTAACAGTGAAGAGTAGTCACACTTAATTGGAAATTTTGTCCCTCCATTCCAGGAGGTAAATTTATTAAAATATTCTTCCAAACAAAGTAAAAAGCAATGTCTTGTGAATTATTTATGATGCACCAAATAAAAACTTCCACTATTCTGTTGAGGTTTAAGTTTCTTGGTTATTGTATTACTTTCACCAGTGAAAGCATTTTGAGTAAAGTGGGAGGAGTATTTGTCCTTAGGCTGTCATAGTGAAGTCGTGTTAATGAATGTAATGTGCCCATATGAAGACTTAGACCTTCAGAGAAGATGATGGTCATGTTTTAAAACTTGAGGACTTAAAATGAGTCATAGAATTTCAGGCATTTGTGAGACTGTTTTTGTGTCACTTTCAATACAGACACATGCTCACATACACATGCACTTTAGAGGAGGAGAACGTCCCTGCTCTTAAGGAATCCTTATAATTCTACTGGAATTTTGAATCGAATTTATTTTGGTAGTGATATAGGACAAATATAATTCCCAGCCTACTAGATGTCAAATGTGCGGAGTTTGTGTCCCCTGAAATTGAAGAGTGAATTCCAAAGGACAGTAGAGGTTAAGAATAGGCAAGGTTTATCGAGAGAGCTCCCGAGGGACATGAGGGTTCTGAAGTGGGTGGCCACTGAGGCCTTTTGTCGGGGGTAATTTGTGCAGCACAGTCACTGTGTGTGTACACATGGGTCAAACTGTGATAAGCCTATAGGATTACAAGTATAGAGGCCTAGCTAATATTGATTCATTGTGGGGAAAAGTCACATAGCAAGGGTACACGGAAAGAGTGAAGGCATTCTGGGGAAGTTATTCTCTGATCACTCACCTGGGCGACCGATTCCTATCTGGATTTCCCGGGCCAGGCGGTGCTAATCCCGTTACTGCTTACCCCTGAAGGAGGCATGGGGGCCTGGCCATTGCATCTCTGTCTTGAGGCTCAGCCTTCTTGAGATGCATCTCTGGCCACAATCTTAATGTCTTTATTTTTTACTAACATCTTTGCGAGCCAAGTCCCTCTCTGTCTGTATTTCATTTCTAACTAACTTAGCTCTCTATAATAGTACAACTGTATGATTTATTTATATATAGTAAAATGACCTGTGTTTCTATCTAAACGTCATGAAGAGAGAAAAAAAGTCATTTAGCTTTCTGTAACCATGAAATGTCTGAAAAAATAAGGAATAAAATCACCATGAAAATGAAATAAAAATGTTAGGATATTTCTTTATGATCTCTATATCTTATTCCATTGAAAAAAGTAAGACCCTTTGAAATAAATGTACCTTGACGATTGGACATATGGCTCTAATTCCCTAACTTTCTATTTCTTAGTAGAATTTTGACTGAACTTACAAAGATATGTATTAAGGGCACAATTTTCAGATTTGGGCTTTGAATATTATAGTGAAGAACATTCTGATGAAATGTATAATATGTGTAGTAACATTTGCTATACTTTTTATGAATTCATGTCCTAATTTGTATTATTTATTGTCAGTTAAGTGTTATAGATTGTAAGTGTTATAGATATTTTTGTGCTTCTTTAAATTAAATAATGTCAGTATTTAATTGTAATATGAGGCCAGTGGTATTTTAACAAGTTACGTATCATTCAGGGGCATGTTAAGTCCATTCTTAACTATTTTAACCTTTGGTTTTGAATATTAATGTTTTCCTCCATTAGTGATCTTTAAAGCCTTATATTTCAGCTTAAAAGGAGTTAACTTTAAGAAAGTTTCATTACTTTAAGAATGGGCTGCTTTAGATTCACTTTCCTTTTTCCAAAACATACATAATTTTTCATATTGATAAATTGGTATCCTTCTTTTTAAATTTACTAATGAACAAAAAAAAGCTTAGATAAAAATGGCATGACAAAAAAGTATGACATTCACTTATTTCAAATCAAAGAAAATGAATGCAACATAAAGTGCTTTAACTGAACAATGACAAGATACTAAAAGTAGAGCATGTAGAAATTGGTCATTTAGAATGGGTTATCGATTATTTGCCTATCAGTCCAAACTCACATATAATACCCCTATACTGAAAGCCTCATGTACCTGAAAAATGGCTACAAGGGCTAAATTAGCATGTTAATTAACACATAATTTTCATAGTAAAAGAAAACCTTCATTAACTGCTGACAATGGACCTGTGATCTTAATGTTAGTATCGAGGTAGCTTTTTTTCTTTTATCTTGGAGATAAATTTAGCAAGTAAGAGAAAGTGGCAGTTCTTTATTCACTACTACTTAGATCTTAATGTGGGCATTTTATTTGCCTGAAATTGAAGCATTTGCCTTTATGGAAAATGAAGTGCTTTAGTAAAACGAATAAGCATAATCCTATCAAATAAAATTTCTAAACAAGATTTTTACACTAAAGGAATTAAAAAGATATAAATTCTGGTGAGTAGAGAAGCCTTAAGTGCAATTCGGTCCTTTTAAACCAAGCAGCTGCAATTATTCCTAGTTGTTTCTATTTCACGATTTTTCTTCACAGTTTCAAAGAGAGGCTCTGTTCTATTCTGTTTCCTTATTTTGTATGTTAAGAAAATTTTTAGGTTTTTAGTTACTTTAACTATATGATTTCTTGTGAGGTAATTTTCCCTAGTGTCCTTTACACCTGGAAAAGTCATCCATTGCTTGAGCATCTCCCTGCTCAAATCCTAGAAGTCAGAGTAGGGCCAAAAGGGAAAGCAAGATTTACTCCTCATTTTCACAGTGCTTCTAACTTCCTTTTCTTCTGTTTATCGATGAGAAAGCAAGACTTAGAATTATATAGGTAATATATTTGATTTCTAGACATATCTGAACACTTGTGAGCATGTGTTTGATTTGGGGTTTGTTTTGGTTAGAATGGAATAATTTTTAACATTTTACTTTTAAAGAAATAGAAACATCCCTATAATATATTTATATTAAAATATGCATTAACATATTTATTCCCAAGTCTCAACTTTTGTCATTGAAATAGTACCATGTGAAAACTTGTAATACACTCATATAGTACTTATAGACATGATGCTGTAATAGATATGGTACTATAAGCTCTCAGGCCGGGAAGAGCCCTATCATTCTCTAGTTCTAGTTCTCTCCATTGTTCTCTATGGTCAATGCTTAAAATGATGCCATGTGACAGAGAAGGGATTTTCTAGTCTCACAAGGGAGAAATGAAGGATGAATTTGAAGTGTGAGAAATTGATTGGTTTAATAGTTCCATATCTTAAAGCTAGTTCAAGCATTAGAATTCTAAATCTGTCTGTGTGTGATAGGGTTCAGTGAGGAGATAGAAACTACATATTAATTTGAGCAAGAAGAGTCTAATGTGAAGAATTATTATTTATGACAAGGGTTGGACTAACTAATTATTGGCTAAGGTGTAGAAAGAACCAAAGGAATTGAGAATAATGGGCACATGGAGAGGCCTGAGGCGGGGGACCTAAGGAAAGACATTTTAAAGAAGGTCACTCACCCCCACATTGGGGCGCATGTCTCTTCTGAGAAGGCAGAACTGTGCCTCAGTGGATGGTGGAGAGGTTTTCTGAGGTGCTCACTCAGTTGTTCTCTGTAGTTGATACTTAAAATTCTGCCATACAACAGGAAAGGGTATTTTAGTTTCATAAGGAAGACAATAAAGGATGGATTTGGAGTTGTGAGATAATAGATTGATACCTATCTCACTGCTACTTTCTTAATCATTATGCTATACTGCCTTATACTTTCTTTACCTGGAAATGTGGCATTTAACAATAGAAAAGCACATAAGAGGAAGGTGAAAGGGAAATGTAATAAGGTTAAATGGAGGTTTATATTAGTCCCTCTCTTCTCTGAAATATATATTTGTACTGGGGATTGAATTTAGGACCTTGTGCTTTTGAGGAAGGTGGTGGAACCATTGAGCTAAATCCCCCACCCTTCTCTGAAATATTTCTTAGGCAGAGTCATTTCAGGTGCTTGGTAGACTGCTTCATTGAATCTTAGGACACTGACTTAGCAAACAAAACTAAGTTACAAACTGGAGGACCAAGGGCCATAACTGGACTTTTCTTATCTACTAGCTATGCATGTCCTGTATGGTTGATAAAGGTTTATTTGCAACTAAGAGCTTCTGTAGATAATCCAAATGCCTCTGCTTCCTTTACAGACTAAGACTTGAGCAAATCATTTAAATTCTTTGGGTCACAGTTTTCTTCATGTAAAAGGAAATAATAATAGGATTTACTTTCTAGGTGTGTTATGAAAATTAAGTGTGTTAATATTTTTAAAAACTTGAAACAATTTTTGGCACCTAATAAGTGTTATTTAAATGTTGGTCTGATAAAAAAAATCACTCAAAGCATATGCATTTTTATATTTTCTTAAAGACAGTCTAGGGATATTAATTCTTACAGTAGTTCCAGTTGATGCAGCTTTACATTTGCTTATAATATTTTTCTCAGATTAATGTGAGTCTGTTAATTAATGACATTTAAATATGTATAGATTGTAGAATATGTAATGTGAATGCTGTAGAGTGGTTATTTTAATTTCTTTTCTAAGGCTTTAACAAACACGCTTTAAACTGATAGCACTTGAAGGTAATATCAGTAAAGCCAGTACTCTTTAAGTTTTGCAAAGAACTTTGCAAGGAATTATCAACCATATATGACAGAAAACTCTGATTTTGGCCCTCAGCCCCCAGTTTGTAATTTCAGTTTTTGTTTGCTGAGTCAGTGTCCTAAAAGTCAAGATTTTTGGTAGCATAATTGATGAAAAAAAATTCATGTTTTCAATGTACTTCTTAGTATCAAATTAAATAGTTTGTAATTTGTTTCTTAAAAGCAAAATGTAAAACCTTCTGTAAAATATCTAAAACTTAAAATTTTTAAAATATTTCCTCTTTTTTCAAAAACAGAGAGACAAAAATATCATGAGTTGATCAAAAAGTCCCAGGCAATTGAAATGATATTTACACTCTACCCTCCTTGTGGTGCGCGTGTGGCCAATAACACCCGTATCAAGTCAACGTGGCTGAGGCCCATTGTCAATGGAGAAGAAGGATACAAATATATCGGTAAGATGCTCAGCTTTATTTTCTCGTAATAAAAAAATGATGGTTTCTGCTAAATAACTCCTATTCATCGTTAGATGGCATAGGGTGACATATAGGCCCTATAAAATGTTCCATGTGCTTCTTCTTAGAGGGTTTGCCTGCAATTTAAAAAGTGACCCTTTTGTGCTTTGGTGCCTTCTCGAGAATAGTGGAAACATGATGTGCTTAACCACTCACATTTGGGCTGTTTTTATTTTTGCATTGCTACAAGCAAAGCTGCTGCAAACATTCATGTACAAGACTATGTATTGATATATGTTTTTCTTTTAGCTACAGTGTTTTCCAAAGTGATTATACCATTTTAAGTTCTCCACCAGCAGAGATGCTGGAGCTCCATGTGTTCCACAGCTATATTTTTACTTGTTTTTCTAATTTTAGCCAGCCCCAAAGACATGTATTAGTATCCTAGTCTGGTTTGATTTGAATTTCTCTAGTAAATAATGTTATTTGACATCTTTTAATGTATTTATAATTTATGTGTATTTCTCATTAAAGCATCTGTTCTTTTGGCCATTGTTATATTGTTTAGAATTTTTAAGTTTTCCAAGTCCTTAGATATTCTGGGTGCAAATTCTTTAACACATATATGTTCGAAAACATGGTTTGTCTTTTCTTCCTTTCAATAATACCTTTTGAATAGACACTTTAAATTTTTTACTCTTTTTTTTTTTTTTTTTGGTACCGGGGATCGAACTCGGGTCCTTCCGCTTGTGAGGCAGGTGGCGAAACCACTGAGCTAGATCCCTGGCCCCTAGACACTTTTAATTTTGATGAAATCTATAATTTACTGTGGTATTCCTTTATGACTAATGCTTTTTTCTCATAGCAAACAAATATTGGCTGGACTTATAGCCAGAAAGTTTTCTTTTTTAAAGAACTTTTATAGTTTTATGCTTTATATTTCATGTATGGTAGGTTTTGAGTAAATTTTGTTCATGGTTCAAGGTGTAGATTGAAGGGTTTTTTTTTTTACATATTTATATCCAAAATTTTTAATGGTGCTTGTTGAAAAGACTGTCCTCTTACAAACTAACTTTGCACTTTTGTCAAAATCAAGTTTGCAAAGAAGGTATATACTTGGCAACCAAGGACAAAAGATGCACATTACAACCATGGTGACATACCTCTATTCATCTGTCAGATAGACTATAATAAAAAATATTAAAATCTAACGATACAAGATCTAACAAGGATGGCCAGGATATAGAACATACATTCTTGAGAGATTGCAACATGGTACAGCCACCTTGGAAATATTTCCACACTTTCTTATAAAATTAAACATACTTTAACCATAAAACTCAGTCATCCTACTCTTAGGAAAATTTCAAGGTAAACGAAAGCTTTATTTTATTTTTCTTACACAAACCTATACATAGGTCCATATAGCAGCATTATTCATAATTACCAAAAGCTGCAAATAACACAAATGTTCTTCAGCTGGTGAATGGATAAGCACAATTTGGCACATCAACACAGTAGTGCACCATAGAACAATAAATATGAAGGAATGAACTACTGATAAACAAAACATGGATGAATCTCAAATGCATCATGGTAAGTGAAAGAAGCCAGACTCAGAGACTGCATGTATTGTATGATTCCATTTAAATTACACTTTGGAAAAAAACCAAACTATAGGAACAAATATCAGGCCTGTGTTTGCCACAGCTCAATGTTGCTGGTAGGGTTCTATCAAGAGGCAGAATGAAGGAGTCTTAGAGTAACATACATTTTATTATAGGTAAAAAAATTTTAAATAACCAAAAAATGGAAAGAGTATTTATACAATTGGCCAACAGTCCCATAAAAAGGTGTGCCATCATTAGTCATTAGGAAAATGTAAATTAAACCACAGTGAAGCATTACCACACAGTTACCCAAATGGCTACAATGATAAGACTGGTCATACCAAGCATTGGCAATCATGTGTTAAAACTGGAGTACTAGTGTTATCCTAATATAAAATAGAACAGTGTGTAAAATAGTTTGATATTTTCTTAAAACGTCAAATATACAGCTAATCATATACCTACCATACAATTCAGCTGTTAGACTCCTATAGATGTAAGAAAAAAGAATGTGTCCATTCAAAAATTGTACAAATTTATAGAATCTTTTCTCGTAAAAGGCGTAAACTAGAAACAACTCAAGTGCACATCTGAAGATGAATGCAAAGATATGATAAGCTCATGTAGAATACTGAGCAATATAAAAGAAAAAGCCTTGATAATATTGATACATGTAACAACTTGGATGAATCATGAAATAATTTTGCTGAGGGAAAAAAGCCAGACAAAAGAGAGTGTATATTGTATGAGTTCAACTGCATACAATTCTAGGAAATGTAAAATAATTGGTAGTGTCCAAAGGAGATGGGTTGTTGGAGTTGGGGGTGGAAGTGGGAATAATGGGTTAAAAAATTTAGGATGATGAAAACATTTTGATTGTGGTGATTTGTTTGTGGACATAGACGTGTCAAAACTCATCAAATGATACACTGTGTAGTTCATTTTTATTATTCCTGTCTCAATAAGGTTATAAAATGAAAGTCGAAAACATAAAGAACTAAGATAGTGAGACATTAATTTTGGCAATATTTTTGAAGGATATTCTCTTTAAGCATGAAAACTTAACCTTGTGTTTTAGAATTTACTTAAAGAGAATCATTGGCTGGAGATATGGTGCGGTGGCAATTTGCGAGGCCCTCATTTCGATCCCTAGCACCATAGTAAATAAATAAATAAATAAATAAATAAATAAAAACTAACAGACAAACTCAGAAATTCATTGGAATTTCTTCTGACTGGTGCATGTGAAGGAGTACTTCAGTACTTAGTTCTATGGCAAACTACAGGAACAACAGGGAGAGAAAAAGAATATAATGAAAAAGAGTATGTTAAGTTCAGCAGTTTGGGTTCCATAACATGAATTGAGGCTCAGGTTGCTATGTATTTTTTCTTTGCAGTTTTCACCTAAAATATCTAGAAAATGTTCTATTTTGTCCTAAAGATTTGTGTTTGATGTCTAGACTCCATTCACAAATATTTTAAAATAAAACAAATAAGAAATATGCCAGTGGCTTTATGTTATACCTTGAGGACTCCATTTTCCAAGATTTTACGGTGATCTTTCCCCCGCTTCTCTCTTAGTAAGTGACCAGAGCCTTGCATCTCTTTGAATTACAGTTGTTATTTAATTGACTGACAAGTGAATTAAAGCATTTGCCTCTGAGAAGATTAGTTTATTACAGAAGTGCTTTCTGAAACTAAGTAACTCCTACTATAAACGTTTTAGGGAGGATAGCTCTGGGAATTTATGATGTGTTCCAATATTAATACTTCACGATGTAAGCACTCTTGTTTATTGATTTCCCTTTGTAGATTCAGAGATGTATTATCAGTAAGAACCAACAAATAGTTAACAGAGTCATAGATGCTCTATAAATACCTTGAATTCCTAACAAATTGTCTACTATTAACACTGCACTTTCTAAACATTCTCCTGGTTATCCATATTTTTATACTTCATAATTCTTACAACAGTGGCTTCCATATATGAAACTGGAACGCTGAGTGATAACTTTAATTTGCTTAAGGTACAAAAAGACTTTCTTCTGAATAACTTTTTAATCAGATCAAGTACAAAGCCTTTAATTTTTCCCCAGGAATACATATCTTGTCAAACTTAGCTCAGAAAGGCTTTTTTGGAAAGCTAGCCTATTAACACATCATCAGTTGTTTTTCCTTATAAACTCTGTCCTCGAGCTCCTCTGACCTTCTGGCCTGTCACAAAAACTAAGTTTGTTTCTGTCCTTCAGTACGCTTTTGCGACCTTGCTTAATATTCAACCTGGAAGCTGTAGATTACATTGTGGAACATCTTAAGTCTATAGCTCTTGGACTTCTAATGGATATACCATGAAGGGGTAGCTTAGCCATTATCTTTCAAGGAAATCATTTAGGAAATATAAATGGATGATTAAATCACTGTCTGAAACCAATGGTCCATTTTAATTGAAATCATATTGTATTACTTTAAGGTTTTGAATTAGTTCAGATCCCGAGTAATGAGCAAAGACCTCTAGCTCTACTGCTAGTCTTTTTAATATATAATTTGCAACACTTGGTATCATAAATTCTACTTACCCTTATAAGATATGTTATTTAAATTATGCAATTAACACCAAAACTTGATTACCTGCCTTAATCACTGTTTTGTTACTGATTTAAAAAGTACAAAGCATCATTTTATGTCATTCAGTTTGTTACACTGCTTTTAGGCAAGATTTGACACATATTCACCAAGTGAGACTCTATCCCAACCTTAAAGACTCCAATTACATAGTCGTTCTTGACATGCAAGTCTGACTTTTGTGTATCTTAGAATTATCAACTTTATAGTATAAATAAGCCTTTCTTTTCTTATACGCCCTTAAGTCCAGTTTAACTTTTTCAATATTCACAAAATAAAGGCTAAGCATAGATTATTATGACTGTCTTTTCTATAATTGACCATATAAAGTATTTTTAGAGGACCTCCTTGGAATCTGTGATTTTTTGACACTTCTCTAGGCATTTTTTTCATGTCTTTCCATTGTATTTTAGTGACAGAACTTGGAATAAGACTTGATAATCCAGTATGTGTGCAATTTATTATGACCGCAATCTTAGTTACTACTGCTTATATTTATCTTTTTAAAGCAATTTAAATGCACTTTACAATATTTACTTGTTCTTCTATGGATAAATGTTATCTCATTTATTGTCACATTTTCTTGTGACTGTTTGAAAGTGTGTAATTTATTTTACCTCTTAAATTTGCCCTAGTTTTTCTTTACGTCTTTGAAATATTTTTATTTGTTACTTTTGTCAAAATAAGCCACACCCATTCTTTGAGGGGTTCTATAGGATTATTATAAAATGAAAAACTGAAATTCTGACTTGAAAGGAACTA